TATATATATATATATATATATAAGCCGCCACACCATCAGCCATATGTTTATGGCAGATTTTTGGCTTACCGCCATAGCCCGTTATCCGTTATTGATAACCTGTTGTTGTTGGGAAATCATAATACCATTTTTGGATTGTGCCACCTTTATCCCCAAGAAATATCAGAGTCCGCCAAGATCATTTGTTTGAAAGTGGAAATAAAAATGATGCTTTACTTGTGCAATTCCCTGGTGATCAATGTCATTTACATAAACATTAAGTAAATACACATTGTGGCTGAATGACGATAGGAAACTGAGTGGTCAACTTCACTCCAAGGAAGCTTATGACTGAATGATGATAGAAAACTGGATGGTAAACTTCATTCCATGTCATGCCAATCTACTATGAGCATGCTTGTCTTGTCTAGTTGACATGACTCACAAGACATAGACAATTTTGAAAGACTTGGCATGTTTATGAGTTTTCTAAAAAAATAATTGATTAATTTTTAGGTCCATTTTGCTCTGTTGTTTCCTAATCTTGGAATGTCACACATAAAGATACTCCCAGTTCTATATGTATTTTTAGGGTCTTAATGCAACTTAACTTACCATTGAATTGTTTGGCCTTTGTACTTAAGGGGAATGGTGATTGTCGATGTTCTCAAGTTGTTTACTGTCGGTATACCCTCAAAATTTCTCCTAATATCTTTTTGTATCTTATAAGCTTTCCAGAATATATTGTGTATTTAGAATCAATCAGTCATCTAATTGAGAAAGTAATCTTATGAGTTGTTTCATATTTATAATGTTTCTTGACTCTAACTGTACTAGGGCTTGGCCCTTGGCCCTGTACTAGTGATACTATACTAGTATATTTTGAACTAATTTTTAGTAGAAGTCTGTATATTGTAACCTATTATTACACACCGTATCAATATAATCTCATTATTGCTAGTATTTCTTTTCTTTATCTTCCTCCTTCCCTACCATAACCACATAATTTTGACAATTACCAAAAAGAAACTAGTATAATAAATAAAAATTTCTCTCTATACTTTCAGGTTGTACATGTTGTGGATGCAACAGGAAAAGTTGAGGAAGGACAAAATCCTATGTCATACGTATCTTTATTTTCTTATACTCCTGGAAATTTGATAAAGGAGGTAGAACAGATTAATGAAGGTTTTGTATGCGGTAAAGACAAAACAGTTGATTTTGTGACTTTCTCAGTCAAATATGGTTGTTGGACCTATGATGACACCACTAATGGCTGGAGTGAGACAGATATTCCTATAATGCATGTCTATAGTGACGCTAAAGGAAACCGAAGAATTACACAAGTATCAATCAATACAAAGGGTTCTATCCGCTGGGCTCTTGCAATAAATACAGAAGAAATAGAAGATTTTGAGTTTAAAGGTAATTAATTAGTTTTTTTGTTGTTAACAGGCATATTTTTAATTTTTCTTTATGTTTACCTCTTTATCCATAAAATGTGTTTTTCTTACCCAATTTGTGTTTCTAAATAATACTATTATGACCATCACTTTGATTATCTGTATGTCAAAAAATTGGCTAAATTGAAGCTTAGTCAGATTCTAAACATTGCATATCTATTGGTATAAACCATTTATCCTAAAAAGGCTAAGTTATTAGGTTACTGGTTTTGTATTAACATCTTTAGTAAACATCTGTAAGATCTTGCTCTTGCTGGTCATGGTAAATGCTCTGCTTATGAATTGTGTTTTTTAATCTTTAAGTATTCACCAGAAGAATAAATGTAAGCAGGCTATTGTACTAAAAGTTCTTTAGAATTCCCTTTGAATTTCAAGAATGTGATGAGAACTACTTTTACATTGTTATCAAGTTGCGCTGGGCCATGCCAATCAAATAGAAAAAACTTTCTACTTTTTTAAATCTTTTAAATGATGATTTGAAGTTAATGTGAATTGATAATCTAAACTCTTCTAGGATGTTTCTCACACCGGTATTGCCTGTGTCATGAGCCTTGTGTTTTAATAATTTGTTGGTTTAATTTGTCCTTGTGTCTCTATTTTGTGCCAGTTTTACACAACCAGAAAACTAACAATATGGACTAAACTATAAAATAAAAATTACTTGTATACAGACTAAAAGGTTATTGCAGGTACAGGAACTAAATAATTAAACCTAATTTATTTATGTAGTTTAAAGTTGTGTTTACTTTGATGTTTCTGAAACAAAGTTGCATGGGTAACGATCATGTATCACAAGGTTGCATAATGGAGATGGATGCATGCATTGATCAAAATGATTGTTCTTACTAGTTGTTTCCTAGCGTTGCTATATATATATAATAATGATAATTTTTTAGTCTGAAGTGGTGTTGTTGTTCTCACTCTACCTCAGATGCAAGGAATTCTGAAGAACTGATTCCAGTTGACAAAAAGAGTGGTGTGAATGGTTGGCACATTATTCAGTTTTCTGGAGGAAAAAATGCTTCAACATTGTTTGATCTGACTCTTTACTGGAGGTCTGGTTCAACTCATAACTCTGATTCTCCTCTTCTCAAACTTCGAACTGATGTGGACAAAGTAACACCAATAACCGAACGAGTTCTTGAGAAGCTTCCTCGTTGGTGTTCTTTGTTTGGCAAATCTACCTCTCCTCTTACCTTGGCTTTCTTGACAAATCTGCCTGTTAAATTTTAGTCACTTGAAGTTTATCCTAGAATCCTCATATCATAGGACTTCTAATTCCTTATACCATTTTTGTCCTACTTATTGTCAAAACATTTATATTTTATTTTTGACAATGATGTATTTACAACTTTAGTTATGGGATCAAATAGAATGGGGGGTTACAACAATTAAATTTTATTGCCTTGCCTGAACTACTTTCTACCCATTTATTTTATTAGAAATGTTAATAGCACACTCTATCATATGTTAGGTCAGCTCAACAATTAAATTTTAATGTTATTGTACCAAAAAAAAAAAAAAATAGTGCACTCTTTTAGTAATGAAATCAATGTAAAGTGTCGTGAATTTCACTCAATGGAAAATTTGTTAACCAACGTGTTCCCAATGTTTCTCTTATTTAGTTATTTTATTTTCCGAATTTGATTTTTATTTAGGCTGTGTTTAATTAGTGCTGAATTTTTTTTCCCGTCAAAATTATTTTTAATAAAATAAGAGAATCCTACACCCATCCAAAAGGCACGCAGGTGGGTAAAAATACTTTTTCTGTCGCAATTTTTTAATTATTCAAGATAATGTACATGAAGCATTGAAAGTACTTGTATTATTACTTCCTCCCATTCTTTTAAATTGTAGGTTTTCTAGAAAAAAATATTTATCTATTTGTCATCTTGAACGTTTAAGATAATATTAATTATGTCTTAATTTTTGCTTAATTATTATTAATTTATAATTAATATGTATTTATTATGGAGTAGAAATTAAAAGAGGTAAAATTATAAATTTCAAAACTATTTTATGAAAAATATTAATATAATAAGTTCAATTGCACTTTTTATCATTTAAGTTTTACAATTTTGCGAATTTTTCATTTAACTTTTAAATTTTTGCATATCTTATCGCTTGGTTAATTGATCATTTGTTGTCATTAGTTAAATGTTGATAAGATATGTTGATTGCTAACAATAACATGTTAATTATTAATATGATACGTTATACCACGTTATCATCTATATATTACATTAGCAATTCACATGACTTTTAATTAATGAGATAATAAAATGTGCAAAATTTTAAAAATTGGATGACAAAATATATAATTTTAAAAGTTAAGTGATAAAATTATGGAACATGAATGACAAAATACACAATTAAATCGAAATGACATTATAATTTTTATTTTATATAAAAGAATCTTAAATGAAATTTAAAAAGAAACAAAGATAGTAATAGTTTGTTTAACATATTGACATTTCTTTCTACTAAAATGCAGTATAACTCAAATCAAATTAAAAAAGTTTTTATTTTTTTTTATAAGGTATGACCGGGAAGTGTAATTTAAAACAAGATTTAAGCGTATAATAAACAATTCTACATAATATTTCTTCTATTCTTTTTTATAAGGGGATTTTTTTAATCAAATATAAAGAATTTTAATGTTTTTACTTCTTTAATTTAATGGTACCATTTTTAAAGCATCGTCCCTTTAATAAAAATTGATTTTTCAACAAATCTCTTTCAATGCATTTAACACAGACAATTTAAGAAATATATTGTGAAATTATTAAAATTTAATGCATTTAACTTATTTTCTTAATATATGTGAATTCAGTTTTTTTATCACTTAGAGTAGGGGTTAGCAAGTACTATTCTAATACAAGTGGTCCTACCACACATCATTGGGAAAGGTTAGGGTTTCACTTCTATTAGTAAAAAAATAATTGACATGGTCAAAATGAAAAATCGATGGTATGAATTAAAGTCACCATTCCTTTTGTTTTTTATTACAAATATATTTTTTTATTATCAAATAATCTCTTATAAAAATAAAATGGTATCTTCAATCACAACTTTGTGTTTAAGTTAGAAATTAATTCTCATACACAAGTACCAAATAATTTATGCAAACAACTTTTGATTAATGATTTCTACTTCTATCAAATAAAGTATGCACAATTTTGCTTTGATTTTATTCCACCGATATTCTATAATGAAATACAATTGATCTTAAAGTAACTTTGTTTCATATATGTGTGAAGTAATTTAAAGAATGAAGTTTCATATTGTTTGAAACTAGTAAAACATAAGTGTTTATATACAGAAGTGTGTTTTATACTTGCAAATAGGCGAGCAAGAGGTTGTGAGCTTGAGCCCATGAGAATGGGCCTCTTGGGTTTGTTGTAGCACAAAGCCTCCAATTTGCCCTTCTTATGTTTACGATTATAGGATTCAAAAATATCTCAATTACGTTAAATTAAATTTATTTATTTTATTCAAAATGATGTCTACTCAAATTATGGATGTTTTGTAGTTAAGTTTTCTATTGACTAAGCTCAAGATGAAAATTTTAGTTTTTGATGTTTTGATGATTGCAAAAGAGTGTCTCATGTTTTAAGAGTTTTAAGAGTGTAAATTGTATTGGTATGTATTTATGTTTTGTTAAGCATGCTTGTCTTGCGCATTATGAGTAACTTAGTCAAATATTTCTTATTAGATGATGTTTGAAGATGAAAATGGTTTTAAAATTGTTTTAAATTTGAAAAATCGAGAATTTGAGTTTGTCACTCAAAATAATTAATTATCCACTTGAAACAATCGATTATTTATATTGTGTTTTCTCATTCTTATAAGCTCACTGTAATAATCAATTAACATTATGCAGTAATTGATTATTTTGGAGGCAATTCTATGTAATAATCAATTATTCCAACAAATAATCAATTATAGTGTTCTGGATTGATTTACAGATTTACTAAGAACAAAATAATTAATTATTTTAGTCAAAGAGTTTTATAAATAGAAATTTTTGAACTTAGAGCTTATTAATTTTAAAGTTGTAACTTTGTGAAACCTATTGTGAAAAGGGCTCTTTAAAGTTGTCATGTTTTTTCTATGAAAGAATCCTTTGATACTTTGTGCATAATTTTAAGAAAGGGTTCAATAATTATCATCATCCAACTAAGAGAGAAAGGATAACTTACTTTGAATTTGATTCACCTTTTTAATTGATTTTGGTTCAAGGTGAATTCGTTTTATAACTCTCTTTATCATTGTTCTTGAGTAAGTTTCTCAAGATTAAAAGTTTTGTAATGGGTGATTACAAAGGACATTTCTTGGGGTTCAAGAAATGTGTTTATCTTTAGGATTTTAGGAGTTTATTACATGTGGGTGTGATTGTAATATTCTGAATCTAAAGATAGTGAAAAATCTCAATCAAGTTGATTGAAAATTGGATGTAAGTCACACTAGTGGTGGTTAAACCAATATAAATTCTTGTGTTATTTTTCTCTATTCCTATACTCTTTATTTGAGTTTTTGTCAACATTGATTCCATGTGTTAGATCTGTTGCATTAGAATCTTGTATATCATTTAGGATTTAGCTAACATTTTGTTTTTTAATTTAGAAATTAATCTCAACAACACATTATATATTATCTAAATCAATAGATTTATCCTGAAAATAAATTTTAAATATCTAATTCACCCCCTCTTGGATAAAATTATCTTTTATAAAATTTTCTATCGTTGCCTTTGTTATCAAATCTTATCTATGTTTATCCATTATCGATCGAATCTTCGAAGATAAAATATTTTATTTTAAATAATCATTTTTTTAATAAAAATTTCTGAATTTTTTCCTTATTTTTTGCACAATTTTTGAGTTGCTCTCGAGCTCGCCTATATATATTATCCATATTTATTTATTTAACCGAATCTTCAAAGATAAAATATTTTATTCTAAACATTGTAATTACGTTTTTTTATTGTTTACTTGATCATCAAATCTCATCTATGTTTATCTATTATTGACGAAATCACCGAATATAAAATATTTCATTCTAAACGGTGATTTTTGATAAGAATTTCTAGTTTTTCTTCTTATTTTTTTGCTTGATTTTTGAGTTGCTTTCGAGCTCTCATACATATATATAGTGGTCTCTGGCTCATTGTTTTACACACCTCTCACACTCTAACTTTTTATTCTCACTCTGAGTTCTTTGTTTACTAAATTCTTCGAACTCTTTCTTCTCTTTCTTGACTCAGAATCAATTTTTTTTTAGGTTCTTTCATGGAGTATCCACTGCTGACAGGAGTGACTAAGTGACTAATCTTCTCGCTATATTGGAGGCACCTCAAAGGGTTGGATAGCTCGCTATGTTGGAGGCACCTCAAAGGGTGGGATAGCTGGCCCCAAAATTTAACGCGGTAGCATATATAAGGCAGGATTTGAACCCCTGACCTTGCTTAAGCGTGGATCAACTCCTACCGCTGAACCACACGCTTGGAGTTTGACTCAGAACCAATTATATTTTGGGAGGCTTGGATGCGCCATCACTTGCCTCAAGAAAATTCCTAACACTATTCAAGGTTTTAGTTAGTTCTCGTCCAACTTATTTCACAACAAACTATATATTTAAGAACCGAAAATTTTTAAATTAAAATTTTGTACGAATTGAGGTGATAAATACCCACTTCATTATTTTGGTGACCAAATTTCGGCTTTTAGTAATTATAAAAATCGAATTCACTTAATATTAAGCTGTTGATGAGTTGTAAACGATACATTACTGTTTTAGTTGGCACCCTATTTTTGACGCATTGAATGGTAGAATGAAGCTATCGGTAATTCTTTTAAGTTCCATTATGATATGATGATGCACATGTCATGCTCAAGTAACTCATCCACCTTTCAGTGCAGGTAAGAAATGCGAGGTCTTTCTACTTCCACGCTATGTCTTGTGCTGTTTCAATTTCAAATCACCTTTATCAATAAACCCATGGAAATATATCAAAAACGCAGGAGCACATGATTGATGATTGGGGTGAAAACCAATCACACCATCGCTCTCATTAACCTTTTTTATTGAAAGAAAATTCAGGGATTAATTAATTATGGATGTGAAATTATGAACCATCATAATTTAAGAGCATGATATTATTTTTAGAAACGGTTTTTTTCGTTAATCACTTGAATAAACATAATTTTGGACCAAATAGGATTATTATTGAATAAGAGAATAGGTTTATCCTAAGTGAGTGAGGGATATGAAAAAAATCTGAAGACATGGATGGAAATTGAAGACAAATATTAAACTCTATTCTATGAGGGTGTCAGTGTCATCAAGTGGCCCCACAAGTTTGGAAAGGATTGTAAGCAATAGCGTCGTTGTTCTGTTCTTAGGCTTAGGTTAACCCAAGTTGTTCTCATTCACTCACTCACTCACCTTTCTCATGTTTATGTTTTGTAATGACTAATGACTCCATCTATTTCCATATTGTAAGCCACGGAGAATCTTAGGATTCTTTGAGTTAGCAGAGACAGCAACACACCCCTCCGAGAAATGCGGTCAATTCCTCTGGGAACCTCACTATCTCCTACTCCTATTAACACCTCAAAACTATCACCTTTCAATTTTAATTTTAAGAAACCAAGCAATTTCCCATCTTGGGGTTCAACTCCTCATGAATTCTCTCTCTTCCAATCAGGTACTTTCATTTTGGCATAATTTGTTTTTCTCTTTCAGAACTTTGCACTGCTGGATTATGTATGCTTGACTTTCCTTTTTTTTAGTTATGTTCTTTTTAAGGATTTATTTGATGCGTTGTTGAATTTGTTGTATTAGTAAATTTGTATCAAACTCTTTGATTGTTATAAGATGAAGTGGATTAATGGGTGGTCATTTTTAATTTTACCCTATTCTTGGAAGCCGATGGGGTCTCAGAAATTTGGGAGTGGGAGTCAACTTGTCTTCTTAGGAAGTTTGGTAAGACAAAATTGTGGGGAAAATGATCGGTGGAAGATTAACCTATACGATTTTCAGAGATAATTCTGAAAATGAATCTTCGAAATAATATTTAATGCCACTTTCAGCAAAAGAAAGTGGTAATGCCATTCTATGAATTTTGGTTCAACCTAATAAGAACCATGCTCGTTTTGGGCTGCTTTATTTATGGAAGCTAACTATGAGTGGGGACTAGTAGTCAAGGAGTGGATAGTATACAAGGGATGGTGGAATACTTCCCATTTATTGGATCTAGCTTCTCTAAAGTGAGTGAGCAAATGTGTGAAATGAGAAAGTGAGGATGTATTGTCCACCCTTGATTTGAATAATGCATCTCATATTTAGCTCTCTTTAAATCAAGGGTAGATGTGCCTTTATTTTCTCGTTTCAGAGGAGCTAAATCCTTCCTACTTATTAATGCATGTTTGGTTCCATATCCATGAGTAAGAATCACATCAAAAGTGATGCAAAAGTAACTAATTGTTTTCACTGATCTACATTCAATCAAAATTGATGTGAATTTAAACATCCTCTAATATTCTGTGATGTTAACTTGGATGAGAACTAAGGGTGTGGTGTTTGGATGAAGGATTATGCAGAGCGAGTCAAGTTGTTGATTTGTTTCCAACTGTGTCTCCTGAAATCATTGTCCGGGAGGCCAGGTTAGAGGACTGTTGGGAAGTGGCAGAGACTCACTGCAGTTCCTTCTTCCCTGACTATTCGTTCCCATTAGATTTTGTGTTGAGGATGGATAGATTGGTGGCGATGTTTGCTGGATTCTCTTTACCAAACGGTTGCAAGAGAACCTGTTTGGTGGCTGTTATTGGCAATCCACTTTGTGATGCTTTCTTATTTGGAAGTGAAGATTTCAAGGTTGGAGGTTTTGATGGGAAAATCAGCCTCAACAAGGGATATGTGGCTGGTATATTAACAGTAGATACTGTTGCAGACTTTCTACCTAGGAAGGGGCCATTGCGACAGAGAAGGTGAGTTGAAGCTTGCTTCTGGAACTTAGGTTTGTGCCTTTATGATGTGCATAAGTTTGGCCTACATAATGTTGTCAACATTTTACTTGTTTTGTCTTCATGCTTCATCATCATCTTAAGATTGGGACTTCTAGATGAATTATTCTTCTGATTTTTTTCTTTCGCAACTTTTCCTTGGTCCTCCTCTTTTGTCAAACTCTATATAGCCAGCTGCCAGCCCCTGGGTAAAAGAGGAGGATTGTGAGAAAATATATGTACCTGTATTTCTATTGACTGTTCATAAGAACTGATATCTGGAAAATGTCCTCCGCACCAAGCAGATAATAAAGTTTTCTGAATGTATTTTATTTCAGATAGATATGTTCTGTTAAATCATAAAGACCCTAAGGTTACCCTGTTTTTAGTCTCAAAAGTCAAAACAAATAATAATTAGCCATGATATCCCCGCATAGCATGAAACATGTCTGTCCTTTTGTATTCTGTTTGTCAAAATAACTGATTACATGTTCTTTGTTGAAAAGACACCTTAATTGCAGTCACCTTTCGTCCATCTTAGTTGCAGCCTCTATGGAGGCTGCTTAAATTGCAGCCTCAAGAGAATGATTTAATCTCCTAGAGATATGACTTAAATAGAACTTACAAAGTTTGCATAATTTATACCTTACAAGCTAGTTTTGTATAGTTGTATTATATCATAAGTCCAAATTTTCAGGCTCTTTCATCTCACATCCACATTTTCTATACTGGTCAATTTGTATCCTTTAATGTGCAAAAAATCTTCTTTTACGTTTAATATTAACCTAGAATCTTATAGTACTTGACAACTTTTGAACCTTTACTCTTCAAAATAGTTAGCTTCAGATTTTTCTAATACATGGCCGTGTTGGATCATGATATTCCGAGTTTATCTTCATCTCACTGCCGATTAGTGTTGATGGCTGTAATATTCTTTTTTTTTTTCTTCAAAATAATGTAGGACTGGAATTGCATACATATCAAATGTGGCAGTCCGGGAAAAATTTAGGCGGAAGGGAATAGCTAAACAGTTGGTAGCAAAGGCAGAATCACAAGCCAGAAGTTGGGGCTGTCGTGCTATTGCATTACACTGTGATTTAAAAAATCCTGCGGCCACAAAGTTATACCAAGGCCAAGGTTTCAGGAGTATTAAGGTTCCAGAAGGAGCTAACTGGCCACAACCGAAGACCTCACCGGATATAAATTTCAATTTCATGATGAAGCTTCTCAACAACACAGCTACTTCTAAATCAAATTAGATACTTCAGTTTAGGGAATGCTTATGTTCTAAAACATAATGTAATTTAAGAAAAGAAAATGCCCAAGAAAAGGACCGTCTGTTATTAAATTGTGTACATGAAAAAACCAAAGAATTAGAGAAAAAACCACTTGAGAATCTGTCTGATTGCTCCAGTAGCAAGCATTTGTATAGTAATTGGCATTCTTTTGTATCTGAGTGCATTAAGACAAATAACAACGGCCAGAAGTGGAACTAGAATTGTCCAACCCCACTAATTGGATAATACTTGACTCTTCTACGCAAAAAACCGCTGCTAAGGTTATGAGTTGTGCTGCTGTTCAGTGCAGCTACGATAGTGTTCTTTAAGCAGTACACTTTTGAGTTCTTAATCATGTCTAAAGCAAATTCTACTACGGGGATTGAACTTAATAGCAAGAGGGTTTATCATTCCAATTTTTTTTAATTTGTGCTTTTTCCCACTTTTTTTCTAGTTAAGATAAGAAATTCATAACCAAGAGATGATTCCTTCAAGCAAATGAAAGTGCCTATCCGGTCAGTGGGCCAACGAGACCAAACGCATATCAGAAACCTCAATAATTTTATATGGAAAGCACAACAAAATTACATCATAGATCCAGATGACAGTAATATCAAAATGTGATGTGTCATAAAATTCTTTCATAGAGATATCTGATATTTCTAATCCACAACAGACCATACTCCTGACACCCATATGGAGTTAAATCTTTAATTCAACCTCTGTTGCCGCTGATGCACGTATAGAGAATCTCAGTATAATGAAAAAATAGAAGCAAAGCAATTCCAGCACCCAACTCAATTCTCGTATGAAGCATCAAATTATGATGCTCCTACAAACTTGTTCAACGCTGATATGTCTAAACCTGCAAACTCCTTTACCGCTGCAAGCACGGCAAGTCCAAGCTTCACAGCATCGTCATTACTAGGTGCCTACAGTAACAAGCATGTTCGTTCTGAATTAGTTGCCTTGTTTTAATATTGCACATAAAGATCCATACACGAACTGTGAGGACCTTTACCTCAATGTTAAGGGGAAGAACAGGGTCGTGAAGTGATAATCTAAGAAGGAACCATCCACCATAGCCAGAAACTCGAACCTGGTCGATGATTAGATCAGACAATTGGAAACAGAAACTCAACAAGTGAGCAAACCAATATTAGCAGATTAGAAATTTACACAATGGTGTCATATAGTATGCTGTTTCCAATTTTGGAACATGTTAGTCACAACTGTCAATAATTTGTCTTTCTATGTTCAATGGTAATTAAACAGGCTTTCAATATAGCAATAAGCAGGAACAAGCGTACCCCTTCATAGTTCACAGGAGCCTTGTGCAGACTAGGATCAGAGCCAATTGAGTTCTCCAATTGTTTCAGCACAGCTTCTCCATATTCCCGAAAAGATCTGAAAACTCTGACATATCAGTGAATTCATGACATTGATGAATGGATGCATGAAAACAGAGAACCTTTATACACTAGCTCACCCTCCTTTAAGATCTGGATGGTTTTGGCTTATCTTTAATCTCAGTTCTACAGAAAGAGCTGGTTCCTGAAGTCCTTCTATTAAATCAGTCAAAACCTTGCTTCCACCACCCTTTCCAGAAGCTCTAGCAGAAGCAAGTTTATTTAAGATCTTGACCTGCACAGTGGACGTCACATGCAGACCTTTATGGTAGTTCTGATTACTAAAACTAATCTTGGGACCCTGCTTAGTTTACGCTTTTAGGTAGAGCAGTTTCATAGCATAATATCAGAACCTATTCGACCCTATGTAACCTATTCCTTGATTCTACAACAGTGTATATATGCTTTGTCTATTTCTGAAAAAATCACAAGGGCCCTTTATTAACATTTTGATCTTATAGTTGAACAGTTCATCAACTCCTGAATATAGGTATATTAATGTCATAATAATTGATTAATGAAGAATAAATAATTCAGTGATTATTTTCTTTATCCAATAGGACTACAATGAAAAATATACCATTAGGTATGCACCATCATCAAGCCAATGATTCTCCTTGAGAGCTCCATGTCCACTGGTTTCAATTGCCAAATGCGACTCCTCGCCAATAGAATTCTGTCAGCAATATTGCTTACACAATTCAAACATTTGACTTATATTGTGAAAATATGAAAGTTGAAAGTTAAAAGAAATTATCAAAAGAAATGAGATGAAAAATACTCTACGGAAGCTACGTATCTTATTGCACATAAGATCTTTTAGACTGCTTCTGTTTTGCAATTTAACCAGGCACTACAACTAGTACCCATTCAGAATAAATTTAGCCAAAATATACAAGGTTTAAATTTGCAATAACGACACAGTCAACCACATAGGCAAAGGGTTTTTCTTGGTTAACTAATCTGATGTATAATTTATTGGATTAATGGCAAGTGCTCATCATAATTCATACCAAACGAATAGCTTCATCAATCACATTTTTGTAGCCTCTTTTGAACCGATGGTGTCTTCCACCTAAGAAAAATAGCATCACCAAGTTATTAATACTATCTAATTTCAATTAATTTGCAATTTGAATTCAGTAAAAGTAAGTGATTTTAGTTTATGAGGAACTCAGAGGTGAGATGGGTAGATTCCTCCATACCAAGTTTCTTCTCTATAAAGGTGGTAAGCCCATCAGAAGTCACACTATCTGTGACAATAGTTGTTCCAGGATGCTATGGAAAACCATAAAAGAAAAGAATTAAGAAGTGTAAAGAGAAGTGTGAGGTTAAAAAACTAGGTCTAAGATAGCTAAAAATAAGAGCCTTACTTCCTCAAGAACAATAGCTGCCATTAAGGCAATCAAACGATTCCTGTTGAATTCTCGGCCAGTGAAATCCACAGCAGCAGATCTACAGATAAAAGTGATTGATGCTTAATAAATTTAAAAACATTAGCCATGTCAGTGAAATGATTAGTAATAAGACCCTAACCTGTCCACATCAGTATCGAAGATAATTCCAAGATCAGCTTTGTTATCAAGGACAGCTTGGGTTATGGCTTTCATTGCTGTCTTGTCCTCAGGATTTGGAATATGATTTGGAAACAAGCCTGAACACAAAAGCCATTTGTTACTCAAAAGTTCATGTACGATACCCAGCTGAAAACATTCCTCCAAACAAAGTTATTACCATCAGGCTCCAAAAATTGACTACCAGAAGTTATTGCCCCCAGAGGTTCCAGAACCTTTGCCTATCATTCACCAAAAAGTAATATCAAACATCAAGTTTGATGCAAGTGCCAAAACCCTTAACCAGATAAAACATTAAAATACTGAATGATATCAAATTACAAACAAATATATCAATATTTGACTGACGGATAAGTGATGTACAGGTCGGTACTATTCTTAAGTCTAAGTACTGTGTGCAATTTCATCATGACAATAATTACTGTTCGTAACTTGGTATAGAGTTGAATAAGTTTTAAAACCAATTCATTAGTTCATGGATTATTAGTCTTCCCCAGTGTACACTGACGAGAAAATTTAGAAAAATTTCTAAAGCTCTATTCTTAAAACTATTCAGAAAATTTATTAATGCATAATATAAAAAGGTTCCCATCAATAATTTGCTTAGCTGATTTTATTTTTAAGATCACCAACCAAAAATCATGTACCTCAGCTCCAGATCTCAGTAGTAGAAAATATAGAAGTTGTAACCATTCCCAATAGATATATTTCACTAGAGGTTATCTGCTCTAGATCAGTTTCAAATAGTGTGCATGTGCTTGTATTCTTGTTTTAGAGAAAAATAAAAAACATTCATATTTATATTAACTACAACTGTCTTATAATAGGGAAACAAAGTTCTACTCTAAGTACAGATTCCTTTTTCTAATATTTCTTGTAGAAAAAAATAATTTCTATGATTTCACATAAGATGAATCAGAAACCAAAATAAAACCAAATTATTTTATTCATACATATCACAAGCATCTACATCTGTTTCAAAAGTTAAATCTATATCCAAATGACAGCTTTTACATAAAACTTCTCATTAGGACATATGATTATTGTAATTATTAAGTAGAATAAAAGTTCCTAACACTTAGATTTCTCATTAAAAAAATCAGTTAAAAAATTGTTCCTCTGGTATACTGATATGTAATCTTGGATTTGCCTTCTGTAAAGTGTGGCATGCATTTTAGAGGATATCTGTGGATTTATACCCGCTGAATAGAAAATCAATGGAGTAGTTTTAACGACATCACAACTTGTTATACATGAGAATGTATTTTATCATAATCTTAAATTCTTAATCATTGATTTTTCAATCAGAAGCTATAATTAATAGGAATAAAAATCCAAGTCCCACGCATCAACTAGAGATAAGGCCAAAATAGTTTATATAAGTTAGGGGTGGGGAGAGGGACAATCCTTACTTTATAAACTGATTTTATAAGATTAAGTTAGATCCAAATCTACATTCTTAAGATGATACCAAAGTCTATAATAGATCTATTAACGGGCTACTGACAGTATTATCCACACACACCAAGTCTAAAAGTGTGGGGTATGAAGAAGTGTATTGGGATTGGGAAAAATCTAGGTCACACATTGGCTAGATAAGACAAAAATAACATATATAAGTGAGGGGCAACCTTCATCTCACAAACTGATTTTGTAGGATTAAGTTAGGTCCAATCCCACATTCTAAGAATGACTTTACACTTTAACCTCTAAAATACATTTCTCATCTTAGAAGAGTCAAATTCCACAATCTTTTTATATAGATATTTCATGTGAATATGCACTTTACTAGAAAGTTATTAAGAGAACAATAAACGTTAAGGAGAATAAAGGCAACTTACTGCAAAAAAGCCTCCTGCTCCATTGCCTGCATCAACAACTATATGGAATCCCTCCAGCGGTTTCTCTGTGGATAAACAATGCAATAAAAGTTAGCAAACAAACAGAAACCAACAATAAAAGGGAGAACTATAAATTCTACAAAAAAACTGATTCATAAAAACATCATGTCTCACAATTACAATTTAATTATTTCTCCACTCTTTTTTAAAGAACAACCTATTAAATATATCTCCAAATATGTCGACTATTATAAAAATACTTCAGTAAAGTCATGCCTATGTTTCCAGCTGCTTTGCGAACCGCTTTTACTAGATCAGATGTATAAACAATCATGTAGTCAACTTTCTTAATAGATAATGAAGCTTTTCTCTCTGAATTCGTCAAACTTTCTGTTGTAAATTGATTGTATATGTTTGCAGCTCGCTCTAAGATATCTTTGATGTCAGCCTTCCCAAGCCCACCAGCATTTGTGAAAAATTTGAATCCATTCCTGTTGAAAGGCAGATGACTTGCTGTTCACAGATGGGATATTTAATAATTAGTAGACAAATTAATATCCAAATTCATTTATCTGTGAAAAATAATTTTATGAATTATCAGAATCAAATTGAAACATACATAAATTGGAATTCACAATCCATGGACGTTAACAAACAATAAATATTGATAATACATGAATAGCATACAAAACAAAAAGTATAAGTAGTTCCTTTACATAGTATCTCAGCTTTCATGTGCATGTAATTGTGTTTGATCTGTGCTGGCCACATTCTACATGATTCAATATAATTTTAGTAAAAAGGAGGTTGTGCTATATCCACATTCTCCACAGATCAATCCAAAAGGGCTTTTGCATAAATGGGCATGCTAAGAGACAAAAGCTGAAGAGTATAAGATGAAATTAAGACAATGTTTCAAACAACTAGTGGCATCTAAAAAGTTAAAACAATGCCATTTGGTAAGAACTTTGTATTGTACCTGTTATCATAATAGATCCGTCAGCAGGACATAAAAAAGCTTCATCCTTTGTGAGTGTGCTATTGAACATGGCTGGAGTTGATGCTAATCTAGAAATGAATCAACAGTATTAAATATTAGATCAATAATATTATGTATCCATGGTGAAATTTATCTAATGAAATTACACAAGGAAATGGTATCATATCAGACAAACTAAGCTATCCAATGGTTATGAGCATAACCAAGAGACAGATAAACTTTGTCATTATCAATGATCTTATGATATGCAATTACAGTAACCACTTAACAGTAATGGCTTATAAACTCAAGCTGGTTTCCTTAGAGGTGATCAGACAACAAACTAACCAGATAGTCAGGTAAAACCAGGCTCAACAACAATCTAGGAGTACATTAAAAAACTAAGCAATTCCTTAGCCTTTAATTTGCAACTTTATTTTCGAGTAATTCTTGAGTTATTAGAAAAGTAATCCTAAAAACCTAAGTAATTCCTGAGAGCTTTTGTATGATCAACAATAAAATCAATACCACGGTAGTTACTAGTAAAGCACCAATTAAATTTCATTATTTCCAAACAACTAAATCTTGTTTTTTTTAACATTAACATTTTGTTATCTTCCCCAATACTTTCACATAAGCAACAAAATATTTATTGGTTATCTTACCATCAATGCCTGATGTCCCTAACCAGTCCTTACACTAAAATTCATCTTATAAACATGAGAATTATAAAAATGCATATGCTATATCTCGTTCTAAATTTCTTCCCAATTTTTTGGTACAAATTCACTATAAACTCTAGCTTGTCGACCACCAATTTTAGTTTTTACTCAACAAGTAAACCCACCACTACATCCTCAAATTCTAATACACTAAGAGCTTGTTGTTCACCTACTTCACGGTTTCCAGCTTCAAAACAAAGCAGTTTGCAAGTTTGATTAAATTAACAGAAAACCCATCCTAAAATAGATATTATATTACCTTAAAAAACAGCAACAATGTAAAGGTATATGCTTGGCCAGGTAATTGAAGATGTTGGGGGTTTAAAACCAATAATCTTTACCAGTCCTCATGCAAATAAAAAAAATGCACATAATTGATATGAAAAAATTAATACCACCCACCCATACTGGACAACCTCTAGGCCAGCACCAGCAAGACCTCGAGAAATTGCATTCTGAAATTTGATAAGTTGATAACCAAAAAATAGTTAGTTTTAAACAAAACATCAATAGAAACCTATTTAAAAGCATGCATGCTCTCAAACTAGGAAGGTCATAAAGAAAGATCCATGTTGTTACAAGACCTTTGCAAAATCAAATAAAAAAATGAAAAGTTTCAGTTATGCAAAGTCTCAAATGAAGGAAATAAAAGTTAAAATGAAGTGTTGAACCTCTATGACCCCAAAGACTGACAACAACAATATAAGACTGACTACCATTTAGTTTCAAAACCATTATTAAATTTTAACCAATTCAATAAGCCTATTATATGTTAAAGGTGGTTAGAAAAAAACTTAACCAAATGATATAAGGAACAATATAAACCTGTAATAATTTGGCTGATATTCGGGAATCATGGCCGATAGAAACTCTCAAATGCTGAGAAGCATCAGCTTTCTTTTTCTCCACTAACCATGCAGCAAAAGCAGCTCCTATTGCTTCAGCAACAGGTTCAGTGAGGTTAACTGGCTCTCCCTCAACCCCATCAACAGCCACACCACGTATGTCACTGTTTAAATTAATTTCATTTATAAGTTAAATACAAGTCAGTGTGCAGGACGTAAGACCCAATAAATACTGGCCATCTTAACAAAAAGGAAGATGGGATTCTGTAGCCGGAAGCTTTCCTTAAAATACTCTCTAATGTATATGGTCATTGTTATACAGAATGTAGAAAAGATTACACAGCCAATATCAATGATTTTTTCATGAAATTAGTTAATCTTTTAATTTTTGTGTCAAGTGACTATAGAGTTACCATCTCTATCTCTCCGCATTCGTAAAAGAGACGCGCCATCCTTTGACCAAAACTAGTTATGGAAAAAAAAATGAAAAAGTTTATATTAAGTTGACAAAAATGGGTGGGTGGGGGATAGGCCACTGAAGAAGTAGATTTCTTAGATAGAAATATAAACTAATTAGCTTGCTTGTTGCTTGTAATCAAGTAGTCCTGACCTGCCATTTTGAAGCTTTAGAAAATCTGTCTTGTCTAGATATGGCACTGCAGTAGCAGATGCAGAAGCTGCAACAAAAGTCCAAATGGAAGGGCCTGCCCTGCCATTTTGAAGCTTTAGAAAATCTGTCTTGTCTAGATATGGCACTGCAGTAGCAGATGCAGAAGCTGCAACAAAAGTCCAAATGGAAGGTACAAACATCCGTTGTTAGAAACAACGAAAAGGCATAGAGTAAAACAAATTATGTAAAAACGCAATTGAAATGTATGCCTATATAAGAATACTGACATATTATTACACATAAGATGGCCGAGAAAGGGAGGGTTAAAGAGAGCAATATTTGAAATGTGTTTAAAATATACAAGTTTTTCACCCCATATCAACCTGTATAATGAGAGTCTAGAACAGACCATTGCAGTGAAAATATCTCTGGATAATAAAATGATTCTGTGGTTTGAATAAAGTGCGGAATTGCATGGAAGAGGCAGTCCATGCCAACTTCCCTAGCGGAGAGGGAAGGGGATAAGGGGCAAAATAACAGTCCCTTCGACCCTGTGACTGTGAAGCGAACTGTGACATAAAAACATTTTGAACAATCTTCCCTGATGTTGCTGCATATAAACATTTACACCTTTATCAGATTCATTAATTCATTCTCCCATCTTCATAAAATCTCTCTCTCTCATTTCCTATCCAATAATTTTCCATTAAATCAATGAAGTATGTCTGTGGTCATGGTGTGGGACGAACTGTTAGTTTGTTACTCTACAATTCCATGAAACTTGGATTGTAGCAACACCCAACGCTTGTTCCAATTTCAATTATTATTAATCAATTAATTAATTAATTTGATGAGCAATTATTAAGAATGATAGCAAGTAATTGAAAGTGAGGAATGGAGTGAGACGAACCTGCCATGTGATGGAAGTTGCAGAGTGCTTCAATTGCCGCGACGGAGAAACAGAGACAGACAACTAACTATGTGTATGCAATTCTCCTAGTTACTACTTACTTCCTTAATTCCTTTTCCTTTCACCAACCACACTTTACAACAAACCTTGCTCACGTGACGTCTTGGACTTTCCACTTACACCCACCTCACTATTCTCTCTTTCTTTTTTTTTGTGAAAAATAAAAGGCCACACGATTAGGAATATTCTTATTCCTATGAAAAAATATATATTTTTGTAATGAAAAAATGATGATAAATTATATATAAAAAAAAATTGCTATTCGTGTCACAATTAATAAAAAAAAAAGTAACAGTCAGTCATTTTAGATAAATATTTAAATATTTTACACCTCATTTTAAAAATGAAAGTTTGTAACATGATTTTTATCTTATATGCCTTGGAACTTTTTTTTTTTTTTTTTGTTGGGGTCCAGATTGAAACTTGTATGAGGACCTTATCTGGTCTGATACTAGGCTCATGATATATACACTTTCTTTTTTTTTTTATAAGTACACCTCCTTTTTTAAAAAAAAATTATAAAATATTATCATTTTTTTAAAAAAATTTAATTTTACATTTTCAACTTTCAATTTGCTACTTTCTTCTTCTTATTCACACACTTTTTTTTTTCTTCAATTTTCACATGTTACCAAAATAGGTGGGGTGAAGGAAAAATAAGGAAGTGCATATAAAAATTGAAAAAAGGAAGAAAGATGTGTGAAAAAAAAGTACTAAATTAAATGTTGTGGATGTAAAATTAAAAAAATTAAAAAAAAATTAAAAATATTTTAAAATTTTAATTATTTTTTTTAAAAGGAAGTGTACTTATAGAAAAAAGGAGGTGTATATATCATGAACCCACATACTAATGGGTCATTTTCCATTGGGCTGGACGATGGGACGTGTTCAGGCCTATGGCGTGTTCTTCTCGGGGTGCTGCTTTAGTAAAGATAACCTTAACCTTAAAGCTTTCCGGCCCAAAATAAGCACAAGCCCAATTCAAGCTGCTCCTGATGGCAGCAGCAATCATGGAACCTTTCTCTCTGAAAAAAAAAATGCATCCTAACAAATTTAACCTTTTGGGCCCTAATTACTCATGAAGCCCATTTACTCCTCAAGAAAAATCACTCCACGAAAATAAAAATAATAATGGAGGGAGAAATAGTATGGTTGTTTGTGAGTTTATTTGGTTTGGTTTATGAATCTATGATCAAACTTTGTTAGCGTTTTTAGCTAAATCAAACAAAGTATGATTAAGAATGTATTGATTTAATTGAGATAATTGGATTAGGTTAAAAAAAATACAGTTATTGTATTTTTTTTCTATAAGCTTTTTATTTTAACGGGTTATTTATAATTTAAATTTAAATTCAATATTACTGTACACTAACTTTTATACTATTTAATAATTTTGAATAGCTATTAAATAAATTTCTAGTATTAATATCATTCAATTAAAATATATTTTATAATTTTGCTTTTATATATTTCGTTAAATTATTTAATTACCTATACTAGACATATCAAAGACATGTAGTAACACTAGATAAAAAGGTCAAAACAAAATTATAATTAGTTTGGTTTGAGTTTATAAAAATAAACTAAATTAACTAATCAAAATAATCTAAAACAATTTCATTGGTTCAGATTATATTATTTTGAATTTATGTAATCAATTTAAACCGCTAAACACATAAAAATAAATAATAAAAAAATAAAGAGTTATGAGAGTGAATCTTTATTTGGTTGTTAGTAACGTAGGATCTTCCCTAAATATGAAGGGCTTGTGGTCCAAAATCCAGTAAGCATTAGAGTGATAGAATCATGCATAGATTTAAGGATATTTATATTTTCAGATACGCATTGGTTTTTACATGATACATTTATTTAAAAAGTTATTGCTAAGATTTTCAACCCTGGATCGAGAGTGTGTATAAGTCAATGCATTAAGGCAGTTTTGCAATAATTGAAGTTCATAATATCTGATGAGTGTGTTAACAATTAAATTTCTATCACTCAAGTAATTGCTTAGATACAGTCAACTCCATAGACAGATGACAACCTAACCTAGAGCAATTTCACAATCACACATCCATGTTTTTGACTTTAACTTTCGGGGTACCAACTTTGACTCGATCAATATGGACACCTTGTTCTTTTTCGATATATAATCATTTTTTTAACCAATCCTCGAAACACACATGGAAATAGTTGAAGTTGACAATTGACAATCCCCAATCTCCATGTGGGAAATCTGATATCTTTAGTTGACTTGGGAAGAAACCTCTTGGGATCGGTGATTGATCCTAAAATAAATAACATGGCAGGGTTAGCCAACTATTTTCCAGACCTTATAATAATAATCCCTCATTACATTAACATTCACATGCAAACCTTAGAATCTGAAATTAAAGTATTAAACAAGTGTACATAATCTTTGTCCAACACAAAAACACAGCTTGTGCCGATGTTGGGGGCATGAAATAGTTGAATTGAGCTGTGTTTCTTGACCTTTGTATATCTTTGTTTGCTTAATTATATTATATATAGTAACAAGGTCACATAGAGAGTTGAGTAAGTTCTAATTATGTGAGGGCAAAAAAATTCACATGGCTGGGATCCCAAGAGATCATTTACTCCTTTTCCTGTAACTGCGCCATACTTGGGGATCCAAATGTGGATTACTAAGCTATTCGTTTCGCCATTTCTTAGGCGCAAGAGTAGCTACCATTTCTTTTTCTATATATATATTATCATATGCATTATGCTATTTTTTATAATAACTTTCTTGTTTAAAATAGGGGCAACTTTCCAGTATAATTGCCCAATATGTTAGCTACATTGAAATACAACTATTTGTTACTTAAATTATCTTTTATGGCTTCATCATTTACAATATGTTAAAAAATAGTTAAATTTTATGATGTAAAAGTATGACTACAGTGAATTTAAATTTCGTTAAGTAAAGACCGACACTACAATATCACCTAAAATTCCCCAAGCTAACTTTTAAGTCTTTGTATATTGAGTTAATGTTTTCTTTTAAAAAAGTTGTAATCAACTGATGTCTACACAATATTGTATGCACTTTTTGATCAACTTAATCACCTTGTTAATTTATTTAAAGAGAGGTTATATGTAAATAAACCCAAAAATCTTACAATTTGCCATATATCCTACTCGTGAATAAGATCAACAAGCCCATATAAATATTATTTTTTAATCGGGGTCATAATTTTTGTATGAAATATTTATAGATATTTTTTATAGTTTTATCTTAATCTTAAGTAATTTTTTTTACACCTTTATCTCAATTAATTATTAACTTTTGTAGAATTCGAATGTATATAAATAAGATTTCGGAAATACGAGATTTGTGTAATACATTTGATATAAGCATTTATTTAGTAGTTAATATAGTATTGCTTTCAAAATGTCAAACCATAAGTCATTTATAAATATTAAACTACCAATTATTGGAGGGCATTCAATTATAAAGCATGTCCTACCTTTACCATTAGACAACTTCCTTTCCATCTAAACTGTTCACTTTCAAAGGAGGAAAAAAAAAAGGTCCACGTGCATATTTTTTCTTCAAATTAATGTCTTTTGTTTGATGTTGTACCATACTACCATTTACCATTTTCTTCTCTTGTAGACTTTTTAGGTAAACTATATATTTAACTCTTGAACACTCAAGACTTATACATATTTTTTCATATTAGTATAATATTTAGCTACATTTGTTCAATTCTAGATATTTATATTATTGTTAGTTAACATCAAAGTCATTTAATTGAATTATTAACTTTGATACTATTCTTGAACACCTAGAATTCACACATATGTTAACATGATATTGCTTATTTTATATTTAAATTCTCATAATTTTATTTTTTTTATTTTTAAAAATTCTTGTATCAATGAAGACTATATATATTTTATAAATCTTTATTTTTCATCATAATTTATTTATACCCAAACACTATCTAATATACAGAGAAATCCTATTGCACATATAGCAATTATATGAAAGCTAACTTGAGTTCACATTTGCTGAATATAGACTGAATTTAATTAATATTAACGAATTCCTCCTATTTCCTTTCACATTGAACGATTTTGCAAGATAATCAAAGACCGATTTTTCCATCACAACCACCATTGTATGAATTATTTAATGGCAGGTGACACCCATATGTTGAGAGAAGGGGATATATGTACATACTATGAAGAAGAAATCAAATTACAAATTTACAACACACTTAATAATAAATACGCATGGTCACCGCAAGTTAACGTTGACAATCATGGATGGCAGTAGTTGGGTTGCCAATTTTGGTGATTAAAGTTGCTTTCTTCAAAAGCTTGCATTGTTAGATCTGTGATGATATTTATATAAATCAGGAAATATGTTGTATCATTTTACATTTTTTTTTATTCTTATTTACTAGTTACTACTACTATCTTTTCATTAATATATAAAAATCTTTTAAATGAAAAATTAATGTGTTTAATATTGTAAAAATATAAAACAACATTTAATATTTTCTTTATGTAGAGTTATTTTGTGAATTCCCAGCCCATCACAGTGAACCTTATCTTATACTAACCTAAGGTTGGGAAGTTAGATGCTGGTTGCTTCACATGGTAACAGTAGAAGGGTTCACTGTTGCATCACCGCTAGGATATTTATAGAAAAAGACGAACAAAATAATTAGTATCGATGCCAATAGTTTTGCCATGTTAAAATGGTGACAAGAAAAGCCATACATACATAGATAGTTTTTGAGCGGAAGCAATAGTGAATATTCGTATATAATAGCACATATAACTAATAAAGTTTAACACAGAAGGTAAATAGCTGGATTTTTAAACTTCTTATATTGCATTGTGAGATTAATCTATCATGAAATTCACTTTTGATTAGTTAAATTAATTTTTATTCATAAAAGAAAATTATTATAGATTAAACTCCTTCGTTGATTCAAGTAAAGCTTGATTTTATTTTCATAAATAATAATTTGGATACGATTTATACCGTATGGGACTGAAGCCAACCCGACCGATCCCACCGAACACCCGAACCCAATCCAAACCGAAACCACTACCCGAACACACCGACCACTTACCAAACAAAAGGGGTCGGTCTAGTCGGCCGAGCCCTGGGACTCCACCAGTATGATTACGAAAGGATTAATTAAAGGAATAAGTCGGATTAGTCCCCTAATTTTCCGGGGCCCAGCTCCTAATCACGGCCCAATAAGAAACACTATAAATAGACCACCTTCGAGGTACGTAACTAACTTTCAACTACCGCATTTAATAAGCCGAGCACTTACTTGAGCGTTGGAGTGTCTTTGCAGGCACCCCCCTCATTTAGAACTGCTCGGAGAAGGACGAGAAGACCTAGACCCCGGACCCGACCCGCTACAACAAAGATAATTGGAGTGTGTATCCTAACACATCAACACGATTTTTATAGATTAAAAAAAACATAATTGAGAAGAATCATCTGTCAAATTCTGTAATAGAGGTTAATTTATCTATATATTTGGTACCTTTATTATGAAAATTTTCGAACTAAATTAAATTAAACTCTTGTGCTTTTTGACTTTTTCATATGTATTTAGCGTTTATTTTATACATTCACTTGTTTACCTTGTTAAGATCTAATTAACTGAATAAATTTGGCCATAAGAGACAACTGTCTTTCTAATTTAATTATTCGTAACATGATTGAAGTTGGCATATTTGGCAGTTGTTATTACGTAACATCAGCATTTTATGTTTTTGTATTTTAATTTTTGGGACAAAGGCTTATGGAGAATCTTGGTGAACTAGATACTTTTCCAACTAAGGCACACGGTTTATTGTCCAATTGTGGGGTAAAACGGCCAACGGAGTCTACAACAAGGTGCTCAGTGCAGACCCTGCTACTTGATAAATCTTTAAGCACCAAATTGGCTCATCTTGCCTGCATTGTGATTATCAACTTTAACTCAATATCATATTCACCCAATCTCTGTATGCAATTTTATATTCACAATTCATATATATCCTTGTCCTAATGCTCCAATGTCCTAGAAAGCTTCGTGGGCAGTGTATCCCCCTCATCCTCATATCACCACCAATAAGTGGGCCATACCTAGGTGAATTTCAAACAATATACCACAAAACAAATCAAATTTTTGTTTTATTTAGAACTGCACTTCATCATTAGTTGACTGTCTCCTAAAGTAACTACAAACAGAAAAGTAATTATTTGTATTTGACCACTTCTCCTTCTCATTGTAAAAACTAATCACTATTTCAAGGTAAAAAAAATAATCACTGCTTAGGAAGCAAGTTTATCCTTATTTGAATACATTTTGTGTCACTTTGACAGCAACCTATGCCTAATGTCTCGATCCTCCTAATTAAAAATGTGTCACGTAGTTAAAAATAACACTCTCTTTTAGTTGTTACTTTTCATGTTATTGTTTAATTTAGAAAACAAGAAATAGGAACAGGCGACTTGGTTCACTTTAACTTTAACTAGTCAAATTAAAATGCCGGTATATGTTCTAATATGGACCGTTGCAAGTGTTACGTAGTAAAACTACTTCGTTTGAAAACTCTAATCAATAATGATAAACGAGTCGCAACAGAGAGGAATTAATGATTTTTGGTCAAGAAACTTGAATATTAAATCAAGAACAAAGGCAATCTCTTGGATAACATTCCTTGAAAGAAATTCATGAGTTACATCATCCCATAATTGGAAGAGGGATTCTCCCTCATAAAGCAGGAGAGAAAACTTCAGATAAGTGCAAGTTCACAAAAATATTACCCCTTTAGTTGTTTATCAAAACCATTATTACTCACTTGTAATAGCAAAACGTAATAGTTAATATGTTATAAAATATGTTTCTGAATCAAATGGGGGAATATTTTTGTTAACTTGCACCCAAATACAATGATGCCGAAAGAAAAACAACACCTATACAGCAATGGAAACACTAGAGCTACTGAAATCTGTTAAAAAATAGTTAGCTAGCCGCATGGATGTCTTCAAGAACTCACAGGCTCAGCAACTGAAAATACGTTGATTTGTTATAAAGCCATACACAATGTGTTGACAGTTTCGGTTTCCAGATCAGACTTGTGTTGATCCTTGTACCAGGGAGACCCTCCATCAGAATTATTCTCAATTGGACTACTTTGGTGCAAAGCAGAACCAATGCCATCAGAAGCATTTGATGTCTTTAGTGAATTCCCCTCAGACACACTATTCCCAGCAGTACTAGCCGAGCTAGTGTTAGAACTCTTTTGCTCAGTGTGAATGAGTTTCCCAAATAACAAGATGTGGGGTGCTTTTGTTTCATTGGATTCCTTGTAATTCTGGCCAGGAGTTCCCACAGTCAACAAGCAAGATATGTCAACATTGGCCTTAGTAGCAGGGTTGCTCTTATAGGTTCCACAAGGAGGCCTAATAGGTTGTGCTGCATGATCAAGCCTTGAGAATCCACCTAGAAGCATGTCTGCTTGGAGCTTGTTGAAGGGAAAATCAGATGGAGATAGTCCAAATTGAGCATGCCTGGCTCCCTGTATGCCTGCAGAACTATTATTTTCAATGTTACATAGAGAGTTTGTATAATTGAGAAGATTGCCAGAGAATGATGGCATTGGGAGTTGGTTGATGACTTGAAAATATGGATCTTGTATAAAGCGTTGTTTCTTTCTAGGAGGTGAGTATGCAGAGAGATTGAAGGTTGGCATGTTTGAGACTAGTTCCACCAACCAAGGGTTTACACACTTGACATTTTGAAGTAAATCTGGCTCATCCCACACCACCTGAAACATAACATCACAGATTCTATATTATTATTTTAAGCATACTTCAAGCCAAATAAGTACCAACAAAAAAAGAGAGAAAAATATGCATCAATAATAGTAATGCTAAAAGGTAGTAACTCGAATTCCAAAAGTAAAGTTCAATCAACAGTGCCACTCTGTGAACTGTGAAGGGCAGTGCCCAATTCAAGCAACCATGGTACTTACTAGGAAGAATTGTCAGCATTGAACAGATACGCTTAAAATCATTTGCTACTTTACTGTAGAGCAACAGTTATTACTATTAACTGTTATTTAATATTTATTCAAACGGACCCGGAACATTTAAAAAAAACCTTTTATAAAAACCAAATATACTGTAAATTTAATTGCTACTTAACACAGCTCATATAATTGGCACAAGAAGTCAATATCATCTAATAGGAAAAGGCTCATAAATAAGGAACATAAACAAAAGAGCCTTGCTATATATTCCGAATGATAAGTCGAATCAGCATCCGAATAATTAAAATATTAATATTTTTAAATAAATTTATTATAAAATATTTATTTAATTTAACATTTTATTGTTTAAATCAGTTTTTTATTAATTCGGATCATGTTTGGGAATAACTTTTCGGAGGATGAAGCATTTTTCTAAACAAAAACATTTCATCAGAAAAATCATTTTGATCTGACAAAGTGAAAACTGTGCTCCATCTTTTTTAAGCATTGAACAGTTTTAGAAGGGGGTAAAAAGGAGTTACAAGAAATCCAATGAATAGTTTAACCATTGACGAAGCAACGTCAGTGTTAGTCAAATCAGTACACAGCAGAGAATAAAGTTATAGCCTCTGAGCAAAGACAGGTTGAGGAATGGGATCTAAACATGTTAACATGTTAATGCAATAGTAAAAGGAAAATTCACAATGGTGTTGTTGTACCTGCAGAAGGCGCCAAGGAGAATCAGGCCAACGGATGGGATCTGCAACCTGAACAGAAGAAATGGTTCCCATGAACCAACTGATCCTAGAAGAATCCTCGGTCTCAAAGGGCATTTTGAATCTCATCCCAGAACACCACTGAATTTGCATTGCAGCCTTCACAACAGAAGCCTTAACACAAAACTCTGGGGAGCTAGCCCTTGGATAGTACACAACCTCAAAAGGCCTTCCATTAACAGCACAAGTAACAGCCTCAAGAACAGACTCAGCAGCCACTCTTCCCACCATCTCATCACCACCACCTTTTGCACCACTCAAGAATCCAGAACCCCCACCAAAGAGAGGGTTCCACCCAGAAGAGAACTCAGCCCCTCCACCAATCCCCTTCTTAGCCCTCCTTATCCCAACACAAAGATCCCCATTTTCTGCCCTCAGAAACACAATAGAGTCCCCAGCAACAAGCCTCTTCTGGTTCACAAAATTGCTCCATCCAGTGGTCAAAAGATGCCTCCTGGGTGTCCCTCTATAGATGTGCCTAAACTTCCAGCACTGTCCATGCATATCCTTGGCAATGATGGTCTGAACCGGAGGCTCAGCCGAATAGTCCAACCTTGGAAAGATGGTCTCAGCGCAGTAACGAGGCACAGAAAAGCCTCCACCATTGTTGGCATCAGATTGTGTGAGTGTCTTGGCAAAAGAAGTGGGAGGCTTCTCTTGACCCTCTACTCCACTGTTCCCCAAGAAAGAACAGTCTTCCAAATCCAATTCATGCTCCCTCAAAGGGGTCAACCTCATTTTGACATACACCTCGTCTGTGTCAGGGTCTGCCATGTATTTCATGGCAGAGAGTCTGCAAGGGATGAATGGTGGAATCCGGGTTTGGCCGAAATCTACTTTCCCACGAGCGTGTTCTGCGTGCCCCTGGGGAAAGTAGAAGACTTTGGTGTTGAGAGGTGGCATTTGAACCATGGCACCAGCACAGGCATGCCATAGTTGAGAATCTAAGCACCTTTCTGAGCCCCTCTCCATAACCACAAACATATCCTTGCTTTTCACGAGGTTTGAAGGAAATGAAGTGGCTTTTTTGGTGGAGTTGAAGGAGAAGGCAAAAGGGTTGTTTGGGGAGATGAGAAGAAAAAGGTGGTTAGATTGTGACGGTTGATGAAGGAAGGAGAAGGAGAAGAAGAAGATTGTTTTGAAGAAAAAAGTGAAAGTGTTTTTGATTGGTGGATGAGAAAAAGGAGAGAGAGAGAGAGAGAGAGTATGTGAATAGTGATGTGGAAGAGAAAGGAAAGGAAGAGTGGCGAGTGAGAGAGTTGGGAGGTAGAAGTACATAAAGACACACACTGCTCTCTCTCTCTCTCTCTCACTGTCACACGCGCATGTGGTTCTCTCAGTTGCCGACCATAACACAAACATGAATTGAAAATCGACATTACAGTTTACAACTCACGTACTCATAAAAACATAATAAATAAAAACTTTATATACCTGCCAGTTACCAAATATATATAAAACTTAAATATATTTTTATTTCTCATCTTTTATTTATTTTTTATTTTTGAAAACATAATTTAAATTTGTAATTTTTCCTTTTATATAATTTTTTATATTTGACTTTTATTGGTATTTGCTAAGCCTCATATTTTTTTAAACATTACACTTTTTGAAATAAATAGATTTTGTGCCTATATATATTGTATATTTTTTTTATTCTTATTATATTCAAAATTTAAATATAATTAATTATGATAGCATTCTTAATATATTTTATAAAATAAGGTTAATACATTTTAATTGTAAAAATGGTCTTTTTTTAAAATATATACAATATTAAATTTAAATGTTATACTTAAACTTAAATAAATATTTAAATCTATGTAAAATGAATAAAATTTGATTTTGATCCCTATAACTTTTTTTTATTTTATAAATAATTTTTTATTTTCACCCCTTTAAATTCAATATTACTATATTTTTTTATATAATAACCATCTTAAGGTGTATATATAACACTTATTTTAAGAACTTATAAATAATTAAAGTTTGGAAGTGTCACATGTAGATAAAGTATCATAAACAATCGTGTATACCACATGTTATAGTTACATAACCTTCTAATGAGCTCATAAGTAGTTTAAAAGGATCACATGACAGTAGAGACTAAAATCACAATTTCAAATTTTAGAGGGGATAAAAAAATAAAGAAATTTTGTTTATAAAGGTCAAAATGAAAAAAAAAACTCATTTTACACATGTTAAAAACATGTTTAAGTTTTATATTTAAAACATAATATTTTTATTGTAACCACCCGACAAGTTTTTACACTTAATATAATTCAACTATTATGCAATGGAGGTACCAACTCAAATTATTAACCTAGGATTTTCATGCAACAGTTACATACTCATTTATATAATCTATACATGTATAAGGTAGAAAATAAAATAATTGGAATCAACAAATCTCCTTGTGAGGTTACATATATATCATGTATACATATATATGATCTACAACGACTGCATAATTATACACAAAGTAACTCCTAATTTTCGATTAAGCATATATAGATCGATCATGCTACATCAAAGTAGCATCAAACAAAAGAGTCATCACCAACATAACTCACCATCAACCATCCAAGCAAGCTTGTTAATCTGATTCTACTTTCATGCAAAGTATGATCATTACAATTCCAACCACAAGGAAAATAAGGGATAAGCTTATGAAATGAAATCAACATACATGCATAACATCAATTTACAATAATACAACATAAACAACTTAATCAACATTTAATCCAACTCTACATATCAACTTCAACCTATAAACCACATCACCATACTAACAACTCAACAACTTATAAAACCACAACAATATCATCATAATAGCTTTAAATAACTAATGTATCGTCACGCATATCAACTAAGAAGATCTCATGCAATATAGATGAACAGTTTAAGTAGTTAGATCTTATCGAATCACAATGTCTGACCTATAGCAACTAAGAAAAGCATAAGCAACGTTTGGGCTCAAAGAATGTCACGTTTACAACTTAAATTTGATTTCTCAGGTTTTATTGCTTAAATAATGAATTTTAGTACTACTTTCAGGATAAAATAATTTAGGTATGAGTCTATCATGATATTAGCTTGCAATACTAAGTCTCATATGGAATTAGTTCATTGACCATCCTCTACATACTACGTATTTCCAATACTCAATTAGGGATTAAGCCCCAACCTTATACTTTACTCAATTAATTACTTTATACATGTATGTTTTGACCCTATTCACATAAGGATTCCACATAAAACCTAAAAGAAACAACTTAAAACATCTACCCATTCAGAAGTCAGCTTACTTATCAAAGAATTATCAATTTAGCTCACAAAACACCATAACTTATATCCAAATAATGAGTTATTTAAATTCTAAAACATTTTTGTCTCTCTTATATATTTTATGTATCTTGATAAAGACATGTATCTATATCACAGGTCTAATAGCTTAACAACTTAATAAACTATAACATCATATAACTTCACAACTTAATCGTTTATCAGCTTACAACTTAGTAACATAAACATCATTAAATAGTCTGTCAACTCAAAACATAATGAGTTATCATCACATCATCTTCACCATACAACTCAATCACCATCTTTCACTCATGAAACAACTTAAACATCAAATTAAAATCATGCAACTTGCACTTGGCACCATTGAATCGAGGTGTTTTCTGTTTCATCCACATCCAACGTAAAACTACCCATGTTTACCCTGGTTATGGCAAAGATCCTCCAAGTCTCTCACTTCTGGTGTGGCAAAACCTCACACCAAACCCTATTCAAACAAATGGCCTTTGCCTAATTCACCCTCCACGCTACTCCATTAATTGGTGCCCAACGTTAATCCAAGTGGAGACGATTTTCTCTCCTCACGTCTAGTGCCATTCAAATTCACGTCCAACGTAGTCATATTATTTATGAGACTGAACTAACTTAACTTTGTCTCCATAACCATATAAATAACTTAACTCTTAAAATCCCTTAACTTCAAAATTCTCAAACAACAACACTAACAACAACTTATAACTAGTCATATAATTAAATTAAAAGATTAAAAATATACAATGTTATAATACTTAATTATATAAAAAAATTTGTTTTAAGTGTTCGGCAAATAATTAGGCTTATTGTTAAATACTGTATAAATTTAGCTTTCCTCTTTGTAATATCCAGTTATTGGGAATTGCGGACAAAATTTATGCTGCCACGTAAAGATTTTTACAAAGGGTCATGAATTATGGTTTTGAGATTTTACCATTTTTTGTTAAGATAAGGATAAAATTAAATAATGAGGAGAGATTGAAAGAAAGAGGAGAAGGAGGAATAATAAAAATAAAAGGGAAATAGGATAAAATAAAATATTTTTTTAGATTAATAGAATACTCAAAGATAGATTTCTTCGGTAGTCTTATTCAGTTTTAACATGATCCTGACAAGTAGATGAGCTGTGAATTGTTTTGAATTAGCAAAACCCAAATTGATTTTTTTTTTTCTTTTAAACTTGATTAATTTTGTTATGATTTTATTTTCTGTTAGATTAGTTAGTAACCTAATTTTTTTTAGTTATGTTTATGTTTTAGCTAATGTTAACAGAAATCATTAGATATTAATTAAAAATAATAAATATTTTTGCAATATAACTAAATGTATTAACTAAATTATGTTTTTGTTTCTTTATTTATTAATCCGTAATTTTGATATCTTTATTTTGAAATAAAAATATTTAATTTTTTATTTTTAAAAATATAAAATTTTAGTTTCATTCTCAATATGATTTTTTGTTAATTATTAAATTTTAATATTATTTAATAATTTATTATTATTTAAGTAATATGATATTTTAATAACGTGACATAAAAAAATAAAAAAATAATTATTTTTGTTTTTATATATTTTAGTAAATGATTAATATTTAATTTATTAATAAATCTTATTTGTTTATTTTTTATGGTCAAATAAGATATTATTAAATATTATATCATTTAAGTATAAATACATGTTAAAATTTAATGATTACTAGATGTTAATTTGGCATGAAGAACAAAATTCTATATTTTTTAAAATTAAAAGAATAAATATTTTTATTTTAACATAAAATAACCAAAATTATAAATTAATAAAAAAATATAAAACCATAAATATAATTTAGTCAAATGTATCAATAACATTAAATATTACTTTTTTTTATTTATCACGTAACTCATATCTTTATGCACCAATTAACAATCTAAAATGCTGCAATAAATAAATCACACATGCTCCTACCACGAAACGAAATCACATGCAAATTAAGGCATAACTTTGAAGTTGCGAATATTGATACAGTGATACTAGCACTTCTATTTAATGCTAACACTAATCAAATCAATGAAACTTTAAATGTACACAGATCATGTAGTAATAAGAAAAGGAAGCTTTTAATGTGAAATAATGAATATTTATGGGGTCAAAAGGGAAGACAGCTTTGCTCACAGTACACAAGAAAACTATTTACTAAATCATTTCAACAAATATCAGAGAACAGAAACATCCAAGAATTTGTGTACTAACCTTTAATATTAGTATTGCAAGTGATTACACTTAATGTCGATTAAAAAAATGAGGTTGATGAGAAAAAGGGAAGTGATAGCTTCGACATATACTAATTAAATTGTAGAACACTTTGTATAACACTAGTAGTATTATTTTTATAGGTTTAATTATTTTTTATCATATCATTTATTATATTATTAATAATAGGTAAAACTAGACACAAAAAATTATTAAAAAGTTGGTGAATAATTTAAATATAAAAGATTAAAGAAAGAAGGTGAAATGTGTAGAGAGATTTGTTTTAATGATGAGTAGTGAAATAAGGGAAAAGGAGAAGTGAAGCATTAACGAGAGAGAGAGAGGTTGATGGTGGCGGAGGCTCTAACTCTAAGGTGAGGTCCTAAGTCCTACCCTAAACCTAAACCCATAAGATGACGAATTAATTAACTCTCAGAAATAGAATAGTCAACAACGCTGCTAGGTTGTTGCTCATACATGGATAACTTGTACATATACTTTTTCAGTTCTTTCTTTTAAGAAAAAAAATATATATATTTTACATAAAAGTTACTTATTTATATTAAATTTTATTATTTTTATAAAAATAAATAAATTGTATTTATAATAAATGTTTTAAAAAATAGTACAATTGAAAATTCATACATAAAAGATGTTTTTTTTAAAATATTAAATGATATAAAATTAATTAAATTTATTTAT